ATACATTACATATTATATGTATATCAGATATAAGAAGCCAATCATTTATAACGAGTAATGTAGTAGTAACAAGTTACGTTTAAGAAAAATACTATTTTTATTTTACCTTACCAATAGTATTATTCATACTGTGTTTGCACCCATTATATTTATTACGAATACTGATTGTAATATCCTAAAGGAGGCGACGCTCACACACAGTAACAGTACATAGAATTAGTATAAAAGTAATAAAAATTTCTAAAAATAACATTGCGTATTATAATCTTCAAGTTGCTGAAAGAAGATCCTTGTAAGGACTCTCTTCCGTAGCAGTAATCATAAGACGTACCGTAAGAATCAGCCAGAGTTCAAAAGAATTCTCAACTGTGATTGGCTAATTCTTACGTCGGTAACCATAGGGTAATGTCCCATGGAGCGGTTCGTGCGTAAGCGGATCAGCTGATCGCCAATCACAGAATGTTCTGTTAGATTTGCTTGCAAAATTTGTAAACAAATCTAACAGAACGATTCTGTGATTGGCGATCCGCTGATCCGCTTACGCACGAACCGCTCCATGGGTTCTGTATTAACCCTATTCTGCAATGATCGTAAACCATAAAAATTTTCCAATCGTAATCGAATATGAGGAGAATAATCGATTACGATTGCTCAATTTATACGGCTTACGGTCATTGTAGAATAGACTTTAGAGCAGGCGTACTGCGTACTGTGGTGTGGCTGGTGGAGGAGGATAGTCTTGAATCGAAGTGTGGTTAGGAATATACTGTGGAACAAGTGGCGCGGCCGTATATTGTGGTGTGACAGGCGGAGGCGTATATCCTATAGCAGGTACGGCTGCATATTGTGGCGTGGCAGGCGGAGGCGTATATCCTATAGCAGGCACGGTTGCATATTGTGGCGTGGCAGGCAGAGGTGTACATCCTGCAGCAGACATATATCCTATAGCAGGTGCGGCTGCAAATTGTGACGTAGCAGATAGAGGCCTACGTCCTACAGCAGACGCATATCCTATGGCAGGCGTGGAATATTGTAGCGCCACTAGTGGAGGATTTTGTACATAAATGCACTCTCGAGCCTGAATATTCTCTATAGGAGGTGGCGCTGCTGCATATTGTAATAAGGCCGGCGAAGTATTTCCTATAACCGACGTAGCCTGCAGAGCAATTCTTTCCGCTGTTTTTTTTTCTGAAGCTGTGCCTTTTTTCAGGCCTCTTTGATAGGCACGTCGTACAGCTGCTTTAAATTGCTGAAAATATAAAAATTATTGCTATCGTATGTGTATACAGGATGTCCCAAAACCACTACCCTTCCTCAAGAATGGATTCTTTGGAGCATTCTACGACAAAAATTCGAAATGCGAATATATCGGTGCTATAATAGTTTTTAAATAAACAGCGATTAAAGTTTGCTAATCACGAAGCTGATATTTAGCGCACTAAGGCATGACGATATGATAAGTGATAGAGAGTCCTTACGAG